TCATCTTCACAATCGTTCGATGATGATAATAATAATAATAATTTACATTTAAAAAAAATTTTGTTTTATTTTTTGTTACACTTATAGCTAAACTACAAACTATAAATACTGAAGAAGAAAGAAAAATCGGAAAAAAAAAAAAAAAAAATTTTTTTTTAAACTTCAGCAGCGAGACCTTCGAAAACAAAAACGAATGCGTTATTTAATGTTTTGCTCCAGGCTTGTAAATCATCTTCTGGTAATTTAAATTCGTTGTCTAGAATTTCTAATATGCATATTTTTAATTCCTAAAATTATAAAAATTATTATTATTATTATTATCAAGTCGATCGAGGGATCGAAAAAAAAGCGGAAACGATTAATTTTATTTCCGTTAATTTTCTCACATTACCCTAAAAATATCCTTAATTACAATTTTACGTTTTATCCTTGACCTCTCCCTAATTTTCCCGGGTTTTCTTTTGGCGGTTACACAAAAAATTTTTAAAACTTCGGGGGGGGGCGGAGGAAATAATAATAATAAAAGAAAAATGACAGTAAACGATGATAAATAATATTTTTAATTGTATTTACGTGACGTCACATGACGTCACACTCATTGTAATAGAAATTTTTCTTCGTTGTTTGTTTGTGTTCGAAAAGCGACGTTTTTTTTTTTTTTTTTGAGGGGGAGGGGGAGGTTTTTGGGTTTTGGGTTTCGTACCTGAAATTGTTGTTCGGAAATTTTTTTCTTTCCGTGCATTTTCCCAAGTGCCGTTAATTCTCTTTGTATGGTCAATTCATCTTCTAAATTCAAAATAACATTATCGAGTGCTTGAATTATGTTATTTGCATGATTACGAAAAGCTTGATTTTCTTCAAGTTCTTCGAGTGGCGTGTTTGCAAATGCTTTGAAATACGGAAAATAATTGTGCTTTAATAGAAATCTATTTTTAAAAATAAAAAAAAAGATGGTTAAACAAAAATAAAAATGAATCGTTTTATGAATAATGTTAATAATGATTAAACGTTTACGTTTTAAAAATAAACATTCCATTTTCTTCAGCGTTTTCCATGACGACTTTCCATGAATTTTGTACTCGTTCTAATTCGTCTGCTGTTAACGGTTCGGATTTACTGCTACCCAAACCCATCCTTTTCTAAAAAAAAAAAAAAAAAAAATAAATTTTTCAATTTTTGTATCGATAATTATCGGAAGACAGGTTCAGAGGATGTTTTAAGGGGAGGGGGGGATTCTGGGATTGGATTTTCCACGTTGAGTAGGCGTTCGCTAGAGGTTAGTCTTCGACTTGGATGCCTTCGGGGGAACCCGAGATGGTTAGGTTGAGTTCAAAAGGGAGAAAATCCTGGAAGTTTCAGCTCGTCTTAACAAGAACAAACCTGTACCTACGTGAGGGAATAAGCGTCCTAGCACCCTTTCGAGACATTGGGGATGTGAAGAGTCTTGTTCGAGGGGGTGAAACGGGGTACTTGATCCAAATAGGGAAAATGCGGAACTGTAATGGTAAAGGATTAATGGGATTCGCGACTCCAAACATCTCTCTGCCTCCGGGAAACTCGCAGATTCTGATTCAGGCAGGAACTGGATGGAGGCAGCTCGGGACTGTCTCTGGAAAGGTAAAAAGGGAAAGTATTAGGATCTTCCTCGGGTAGTACCTGATGGCTCTGGTTCAGGAGGGGGTTGAGTAGGTTAAAACTCCCGCAAGCGCTCCTCCCTCCGGAGTCCTCCCACACACACACTCCCCATGCTACCTGGGTGGGAAGGTTGGTACGAAACGCTTGACCGAAAATCCTGAATTACCCATAAATAAAAAACCTCGAAAGCACATTTTTAAAATTATTAATTATTAACGTTCTCTTATGCATAAAAAATTACTTTCGATATATCGAAATTTAAATTTTTTGTTTTACATATTTGTGAAAGTACTTTCAAAAAAAAAAAAATTTTTAACTTACGTCTCTCGTAATTTTTTTTTTTTATATTATTAAGTTTAAACATTAACAACAAACAAACAAACAAACAAACAAACCAACAAACAAATTTTATTTAGTTTAAAAACATGCGAATAAAATCGTTTTTTTCTCTTATGTCCGTTCATTTTAAAATTGCAAATAATATTTTAAATTAATAATTTTTCATTATTATTATTATTATTATCAACAACAATGGCGGTAGGGGATTAATTTAAATAGAATTTAATTTAGGAGTGTTTGACAAGTAGGTACGGCGTTTTTTTTTTTTTTAATCAATTGAACAAGGCTATTTAATTAATTATAAAAATTCTAAAAGAACATTTAAATCGATTTAGAAAAAAAAATGGCGAACAATTTAAAAAAAAAAAAAAAAGGAAATTAAATTTCAAAAGGAAAAAATAATGTCGTCATATTTTTAAAAGATAATTTAGTCGTCCTAAATTTAAAAGAAAGAAAAAATGGCAGGCAGGCAGGTCAGTTAATAAAAAAAAAAAAAAAATAAATAAAAAATGAAAAAACTTCTTTAAAATGGATTACGAAGGTAAAAAAAAAAAACTTATACGAATTCTTGTAACGGAAAAATCAACTTCCCCCCCCTCGTCCTCCTCTTTCCCCCTTTTCCTCCTTTCCCCCACGAAAACAAAAAAAAAATTCGTTAAATTATTTCGCGCGGTAAAATCAAAATAAAAATTTGATTATATTTAACGATTTTAATTAAAAATTTTTTTTTTAAATTGTCGACAAAATTCCCCTCTCGCGCGGTTTGACAATTTTCCGACAAATTTCTTATTAAATTTTTAATAATAATCAAATCCAAATGATTTCGTTTGTTTTTTTTTGTTTGAATCGAATCTTTTATGTAAAAATAACGGTTTTTTTCTTTTAATCTTCAAATAAATTGAAAAATTATTATTATTATTTTAAAAAAAACGGTTTGAAATTTTTACAAAAAGTTATTTTTAACATTTAATTATTAATAATAATAATAAAATAAATTACTTACATAAAAAAAAAAAAAAAAGTTTTTTAATTTAACAACCGTGAAGCGTACATACACGCACAAATTCCTAATTTTTTTCGCTTGTTTTTACAAACAACAACAAAAACATACAAACAAAACACAAAAAAGATTATTATTATTCTTACCTAAAAAATTCAAATGTTGTTGTTCGACACAATAATAATAATAATAATAAAAGAATAAGTTTTTTAACTATTGGCGACGACGACGACGACTAGTTTTTGTCAATTAAGATGAAAAAAAAAATTTTGATGTTATTCATTCAATGACTGACACATAACTGATTAAGTGGTGTCAGAAGGTTAGTCGAGCCAAATTCTTAACTTGCTATTTGTGTGTGTAAAGTGCGTGTGTGCGTGTGTGTGCGTGTATTGTATATTAATGTCGATGGTTATGTCCAAACCAAGGTGACCAATACATATATATTTAATTTATTTTGTTTCCATATCGTCGTTTTTTTTTCTTTCTTTCTTATCATGATATCATTCATGCGTTTTTTTAATACGCAATTTTTTTTATTACTTTTTTCATTTAAAAAATGTAATAAATATTTTATTTATTAATGATTATTATTATTATTATTATTATTATTATTGTTATTTTATTTAAAAAAAAAAAAAAAAATGTTTCACCCATTTGTGATTAATCGTTTTTTTTTTTTTTTTTTTCGATAAATCGATTAAAATAAATAAATAAAAATAAAAAATAAAAAAAAATTTTGTACAAAAAAAAAATAAAACAAATTACATCTAATTACACGTTTTTTTTTTTTCGTTCGAAAAAAAAAAAAACGTGTAATTAGATGTAATTTGTTTTATTTTTTTTTATTTTTTATTTTTATTTATTTATTTAAAATCGATCGAAACATATAATTTTTTAAAAATTTAATTTAATTAATGTTTTGTATTATTTTTATTAAAATGAAATTTATCCTCTCTCTCTTTTTCTCTCTGTATGTCTGTATCTCTCCCTTTTTCTCTCTCTGTCTCTGTATCTCTCTCTATATCTCTCTGTACTTCTCTCTCTCTGTATTTCTAACTCTATCTCTGTATTTCTCTTTTTGTATTTCTCTCTCTCTCCGTCTCTGTATCTATTTGTACTACTCTCTCTCTATATGTATTTCTCATACTCTCTTTGTTTCTATCTCTCTATCTCTCTCTCTCTCTCTCTCTCTCTCTCTCTGTGTGCCTCTCTCTTTACTTAAGATACAAAATAATAATGATGAATAGTTTTTTAAAAATAAGTATAATATATAAAAGAAAAAAGGAGAAATAAAAATTTATGTATAATAAATGATAATTTTTTTCTTTTTTTTTTGAATTGAAATTTAAATTTAAATTTAAATTGTAATTTATTTAGTAATTAAATTTTATTATCCGTGTTTAATTTTTTTAAAAAAAGAAATTTTTTTTTTTTTTTTTTTTTTGATGCCAAAACGAAAAAATGTAATTTTTTTAATTTTAATTTTTTTTTTGTTGCTCAAATTTTTCCCGCCAATTGAAAACAATTTGAAAATTTCATTTTGAATTATCAATATTAATTATAATTTATCTGTTTTTTTTTTTTTTTTTCTTTAGAACATTCGATAAATTTTTAAAAAGCAAATAAATTTTTAGCCCGTTTTTTTTTTTTAAATTTAACTTTTTCTATTATATTAATAATAATAATAATAATAATAGTCATTTTTTGAACGTCTAAATATTTAAAATGACAAGTTGACGGGTTAAAAATTTATTTAAAAAAAATTTTTTTTTTGTTTAAATAAAGCTTACACGTGTTTAACATCGCAATTTTGTGCAATGTGCGTGTACGTGCGTCCATGTGTGTGTTACGCATAAAACTTACGCAATTTTTTTGTTTTTTTTTTTTTATCAAGAAACCAAAAAGAAAAAATTAACAAAACAAATAATTTTTTTTTTCTATTTACTCTTCAAAATTAAAAAATAAACGGTTAACTATAATCGATTCATTAATTTTTTAATAAAAAGCATAAAAAATTTTAAAATTAAAATAAAATTAATTAAACGTTTTAGCGTTTTACTATTATTATTATTTATTAATAAAAATAAATAAATAATTTATTACTCAAAAAAAAGTAAAATTAAAAAAAGAAGAAAAAACTTACCCTAAACGTCAACGGTCTAAAACGTTGAAAATTCATTTTATTATAATTTTTTATTATTATTATTAATAATCGATTTAAATTTAAATAAAATAATTTATTTATTATTAATTTATCGTAAAAATTTTTAAATAATTTATTAACGTATATCGGTAAAAATTTAAATTTTCGCATCTGTAGTAAAACAAAAAAAAAATTTTTTTTATGTTAACCCTACGAAATATTATTAACTTTTGAGTTTTTTTTCATAAAAATTTTCATTTTTTATAACTTTTTCTAAAAATGTAATTAAATATAAATTTATAAAAAATATAATAATAATAATAATGATGATAACCATGATGAAAAAAATGTCATAATTGGAAAAAATGAAACAATGTAAAAATATTTAAAAAAATCACAAGCCCTTGATGTAATGATAATTTCATTTCATTCTTTCTATTGTTATCATTATTATCATTATTATTATTATTATTATTAATTAAATAATTAATATTTTCGTAAATGACTCCGTAAAAAAAAACCAAAATTCTATAACTTAACGATAAGTTTATTATTTTTTTGAATAACGTCCGACATTTTTATTAACGACATTTCGGACATTTTTTTTTTTTTTTGATTTATTTATAATTTACCCTCCCTTTCCCTCCCCTCCCTCCCTTGCCGTTGACCTCAATAAAATATCATATTATTATTATTATTTACAGGTAAAAAAAAAAAAGAAAAAAACAACAAAACAAAAAGAATCTCGTTTTAATTGTTGTTGGTCTTTTGCGTTTTCAACAAAAAAAAAAAAAAAAAAAAAATTAAAACAAATGATTATTAAATAAAATGATATCGTACGTGTCATTAATTATTAATTATATTTTAATAATTATTAATTTATCTAGTTCCACGATAGATATCAATCTATCGGAATTTCAATACATTGCCGATCATTTAACAGTCGAAGAATGTTACAAACTCGTGTCTGCTTTGCATTTTAACGAATTTGATCTTCCAAAAGGATTAAACGCAGCCGGTAAACCAATTATTATTATTATTATTATTATTATTATTATTATTATTATTAGCACAATTAATGATTTAATATAATCACGCCATTTCCTTTTTTTTTTTTTTTAATTCCGAATCGGTTGTGGGATGTGGGGGTGTTTGGGGGGACTCTCAGAACGTAAACTTCCGAAAGATGTACCTTGTATTGATTTATTAATACATTGGAATTCGACTCCGAAAGAAGGAAAAGGAAAAACTCACGTAGAATTAACTCATAGATTAAATCAAATAGGAAGACAAGATTTAGCACAATGGCTATCGAAAACTGTTTTCCATCAATTGTCAAAAGATGTTAAATTGTCTTTGAACACGTCGAAAATACAAGAAACAACGATATAGTTAGTAACTTAAAAATTCATTTTTTCTTTTTTGTTTTTTTTTTTTTGTAAATAATTGATTGATTTTTTTTTTTTTTTTTTTTTAGTTTTAACGAAACGCCATTTTATCCGGATGATGCAAATGTCGATGAATCTGCTTGGTATGAACTCGATACGATAATATCAATTTTTATTGTTTTCGGTTTGATTACATTATTTATTGGAATTATTTATTTTTGCACGTTGATTTGCTGTTCTAGTAAATCTGATAATTGTAAAAACGGTTATAAAACTTTATCGACCGATGAAAATTAATAAAATAATTAATTAATCTTTTTCTTTTTTTAAATAAAAATTTTTTTATTATTGTTATTTTTATCTCATAAAATTTTTAATATATTAAAATAAAAATTGTTTTTTTTTTTTTTTTTTAAATGGGAGGTAAATAATAATCAATAAGTAAAAATTTATTAATTTTTTTTTTTAAATATCATTTCTTTCATGTTAACGTTTATTTTTTAAATGTTGTTGTGTTTGGATCGACGCCATTTTAAAACGTCATCAAGAATTCTGCTTTCTTATTGGTCGATGTAAAACGTGAAATTCGTCTTGTTGCTTTCTTGATATTTTTGTATAGCTGGTATCTGGTAAGTAAATAATATTTTTCTTTAATTATCTTATACATCCTTATATTATTTTTATTTTTAACAAATCGAATTTAAAGAATAATTAATTTAATTTTATATAATGTTAATTTTATTCGGTTTTAATTCGGTTTATTGTTAATTAAATATTTTTTTTGTTTACAGTTGGATACTTGGCACTTAGTATTTGTGACCATGGTGAGTTTTAAGTTAATTTTTATTTATTAACACTTTTTATTATTGATTTAATATAACTATTACTAATTTTAAATACTTTTAATTAATTACCTGAGGCCAAGAATAACTTTTTTCTATTTGAAGTCATTAATACCCATAACCTCTTCTATTCTTGCAACCATCGGTTACAATAAGTAAAAATATAAGATTTTTAGTAAAATAAACTTTTTAGCAATTATTAGTTAATGTGCTTAATGAAAATACTTAATACTTCACTTGAAATATTAAAGAACTCTGTGATTGTAATAATAAGGGATTATATATCATTTGATTTCAATTTTTTTTTGCATCAAGTTTGGGTTATGTCCGAATTAAAAATGCATGTCAAATAGAAATAATAATGAAGATAAAAGTTTTTATTTTATGTATATATTAAATTATTTGTTTTGTTTTCAGCCTAAGGAAATTAAAGAAATTAAAGACTTCCTTTTAAACGCTAGAAGGAAAGATGCAAAATCAGTTAAAATAAAGAAAAATGCTGAAAACACAAAATTTAAGGTTAGGTGTTCTAAGTATTTGTACACACTTGTTATCACGGACAAGGAAAAAGCAGAAAAGTTAAAACAATCTTTGCCACCTGGTAAGCATTTTAACAAACTTTTTTTTGTTTTGTTAAATTAAATCTGTCCACTCTAATACTTGATGGTATTTATTTATTTATCTTTAAGTTTCGCTTGTGGACTAAATTAATACTTCATGAAATAGTTATTTAGGGCTTTTGTCTTGTCTACGATTTAAGTTATTTTATGATTGTGACATTTTTTTTCTATTTCCACTCATGTTTTATAAAAAAGATGTATCTTGGTTTCTTTTATTATCTTTGATTTTATTTTGTTTTTTAGGTTTACAAGTTAAGGAAGTCAAAAAGGGGGAAAAGAAATAAAAGGAATGAATGATAATTAATTTTGTCATTCATTTTATAAATAACATCATCAAAATGTAAATTAATTTTAATTTTTAATAAATTTAATTTTTACACATTCAGATAATAATAATAATTATTTAATTAAACAATACTACTACTACTCGACATAAAATCACAATAGACAAACGAGCGAACGACAAGTATTTTGTCGTGGCATTAACCTACCCGTCGTTTTTTTTTTAAAAATTCAAACGTTAATGATCGAATGAAAACGTAATAAATATAAGTTGAACACACGTTACGATACATTTACGTAGGCAAAAGTAGTTTTATTAAAATCCTTTATTAAAAATTCACACGCGCAAAGTAAAAAAATATTTGCTTTAATTATCAAACTGTGAAAAATAATTTTTTTAACGAGTCTTTTTTTTTTTTTTTTTAAATTACGACAATTTTCCTAATTGATTACCAAACTTTTGATTCTTCAACAAGAAGAAAAATTAATTTTTTTATCATTATATTATTATTTGATTTCCTTAATTTAATTTAATTAATGGGTAAAAATAAATAAATAAATTTATTAATAGTAGTATTAATTATTTTATTATTAACTGTTTCGTTTGCACACGTTTGCACTGATTAATTTAACAACCGTGGCAAACGTTGGTGATGGTTTTGGTGATGGTGGTGATGGTAATCAGTATAATATTTTTTTTTTTAGCCCGGTTAGTAATAGGGAAGCATTTTACCAGTCATGTTACCTCCCGATTCTAACCAGGCTTCGTGTCACTAATCATCCAATTGACATAAAAGTGCCGTCCCTCTTTTTATCCAATGGGAAACGGGTTTTTTAGTATCTAATAAAAATGGTAAAACGTAATTTGTCGAATGACCCGTCGTCGACAAAACTCCTCGTCTTTCCGACGTTTTATACAAAGGACTTTTATAACGTCCTTTTTCTTGTAATTTTATTTTTTCTATCGGTTTCAACCAGACGACGGGTAAAACGTCGTATAATATTTTAAAAAATTGTTCTTCCAAATTTCCCGCTTTTCTATCCCAACGAGCACCGTCGACGAACAAACCGTAAATGTAAACCCCATCGATCGGGGGTTTAGCAATTTTACCCAAATTCGTGACTTCGAAATCGAACGTCAATTGATCGATGGGTATCGTGTATTTTCTTGCAAAATTTTGCATGGCACCCGTTAAAAATGCCTGAGTGAAAAAAAAACCCGACAACCAAAATTGCGGGGGTTTTCCCGCGTCGTGCCACCTTTTTAAAAACGCTAACCTTTCGAGAAAATCGTTCACGTAAGAACCTAATTTTTTCAAGCTCGGATAAGAGACTTTGGCCCAAGCGGCGGGTACTTTAGCATATTGAATGTTTGCTGCTATCATGTCTAGTGCCGGAGTCATGACGACCAAACCTTTTATTGCCTTTTGAATACTTTGCAAAGTCGTTCGTATGACGGATAACAATTTGTTAAACCTTTCCATTTCCTGCACGAGCACGGTGTTCATGGATTCCGTGTACGTGACCGGAAATTTTTCCAAAGCGAGTTCCAAATCGAAATTCGGCGGGAGTTTTGATAAAATGTCTTTGGCTATGTCGTAGAGCAAAGCATCCGAACTCGAATCTCCTCCGGTGCTTTCTCCCTGTACCAGCAGAAGAGATGAAAGTAAATTTTTAGCGTTTTGCAAATCTCGCGTTATTCCCGCGTTCGTGTGCAAACCGAACACTTCCGGTGGCGGCACCGACGGAATGTTATTTATGTGATTCACGTAATCCCTGTATTCCGTTTTCCTGGGGAGTCCGTACGCGGGACCCAACGGACAAAACGTGTAACCCGGATCGCTCACGACGTTCGGGTTGACGAAATCGCTTAGTATTGTTATGAGACACCTTCTGTCCCAATCGTCCGTCACTCGTCCGCCATAGTTACACTCTCCCGTTAAATATGTTATCGCTTTGTACGGAACGTAATCGTATTCGTTCAAAAACATTTGCAATTGTTTAACGGATATTTGAAAATCGGATTCGTTGAAACCGTAGGGTATGTTCCATCCTATGGCACCATATTTCCTCCTTTCTTGGACTATCGCGTGAAAGAAACAAATACCGTACAATAACTTTCCGAATATTTTATCCTTTCCGGGGCATCCTTCGAAAAATTCCGGATCTTTAACCGGTTCCGATGAATACGATCTTGCCAAATTGGGTTGCAAACCCGTGGGTGGTTCGTTCGTCATTTTGACACCGTACTGTAATATGCTAGCGGGAAATTTATCCGACGGATAACTCGTCAACCACAATCGAAACGTTAGAGCGGTGTTCGAAGTGTCCAAACCCTCCCAGATTTTTTCCAATGCAGGCATCCACGAAACGGCCAAGTGACAATTTTGAAGACAGACCCAATCTCCGTCGATTTGTGCCTGTTCTATCATTTTAGCCGCTATGGGTCCTTGTCCTTGACCCAGGGAAATCGATTGAAATTTCGTTACCATTCCTTTTTTTTGCGAAAATTTCGTGAGAGCTCTCATAGGATCCGCTCCCGGAGACAGTATGAATATCAGAGGACACAAACAATTGGAATCGTTGTAAGATTTCGATATATCGAACGTCGGAGGTCTGGTGAATTTCGTACCTAATTCGGCTTCTACGAATTTCGACACGTTTATAAGGATTTTATCAGGTCTGAATATTCTTATGAGCATTAAATTTTTAAAATCCGTCAATTTGTTACGCCACGACGCCGGTATGTTATCGTAAGTCGGATCGGGTAAATCGTAAAATTGCTGCCATTCTTTTGAGAATTTAATGAAATGGTCCACGATGCCCTTGAAACCGGGTATTTCGTTGACTCTGCACAATTCGTCCCAAGATTTTCCGCTTAACCACGACGAAGCCGGATTCGGCAAAGGATTTTTGAGTCCCACCCCTCCGGTAATCAAAAACATGAATTCCGTTTTCGTGAGAGTTTTTTTAGACATCATGACGTTGCAACAAAGCAATAGGGAAAAAAGGAGTTTGTCTTTTTCGAAAAGTGACCGACACACGTTCGAATAAAGATTGTAGGTGAACGTTTCGTGTAAGAACGCGAGTCTCTTTTCCAACAATTTTGATTTGTTCGCGGTTTCGATAGACATGACGTACAAATTGATAAACCATCCGAGTGAGTATTGATACATTGGGTCGACGTTCGGTAAATCCGTTACGCAGTAGTACAAAACGGCAGAATGAGATGCTATGGGCCTGTAGTTCAACCGGAAACTCTCAATCATTTGTTCCGTTTCTTTGGCTGCCTCTTGTTTTTCTAATATTTCCAACGATAATATTTTCGACGAATCCAGTACTTCAATGGCGGATTCGTTTTCCAATATGTTACCTTTTGTTTCCGATAACGTTTTCAATATCATGTCTTCGACGTCAACCAATGCTTTTTTATTATTCGCACTTTGAACGATCAATTCTTGTCTCGTTTCTTGAAGGTCGGGTCGTTCTTTTGCCACGACTATACCCAATAATTGATCTTCTAAACCGTCGATTGTTAATGAGAAGTTAATGACGGTGACTTTGTTGAACACTTCGGGTAGGTAGTGAGGATTTCTCAATTTCGATGTCATGTAGAGTAAAAATTTCGGATTGTATTCAATAACGTTATCTCCCAAGGCCATGTATAGTCTTCCACCCTGTTGAAAGGTATTATTATTGAGTAAAGGTTCGATCGGTGCTTCCAATTCTTCCAATATGTTTTCAATGAGAACGGGTCTTCCCGTTTCGATGCACATTTCAACTATTTTCATGTAATTGGAATCGGAAAATTTACACACTTTCAAATCGTTTGATTTTTCCATGGCTTTGACCCATTTATTCGCCTGATTTTGGGGATCCAAAAAAAGCGACCATCTCCGAGAGTTATCCATTATTATGGCGTTATCAGATGAAAATTGATCTCGCGGGAGTCCGTATATGTTCCAACTTTGTATTTTTATATCCGAACCCATTATTTTCGAAAATACGTATTCATCCGATGCGGGTATGTTTAAGGATTTGACGTGACTTTGCCATTCTTGGATTTTTTCCATTCGATAATTCATCGTGAAGGGAGATAAATAAGCAATGATCGCACACGATATCAATATGTCACCCGCCAAACAATCGTAATAATTTTGAAGGGAATCGGCTGCTGCGCTCCAACGTGATTTTTCTCCTCCTAAACCTCCGATCAATTTTTCCGCTCTCGTAAGTTTATTCGAACAAAGATTTACCTCATCTTCGAGAGCTTGCTTTTGATCTTGTGCATTTTTCAACTTGTCCTTTAATTCGTTTAATTCGGATTCCAATTTCGTGACTTGTGCTTTTTTCTGATCCAAAAGTTCCATCGTTTTCGCAAATTCCGTTTCGGCTATTTGTAATTTGGCTTTTTTCGGTGCCACTTCTTTCGCCACCGCGTCGTAAAGATCCATTGCTATGATCCATTTGCATAAACCTTCGGCTGCGCTCGATGCTTTTGCTACCACGCTCGGTTTAAAATCCTTGTGCGGCAAATATTCCTTACGTATTTTATTCATTATTTCTTCCGGAATGTTATCCTTATCGTACTCTTTTAATGATTGCAAAAATGTCATTTCTCCTAAAATCCTCTTGCTGGGTCCCCAATAATTCAAAATTTTTTTACCCGTCGTCGGATCCGTTATTCGATCGGGTTTGACATTTTTCATTACGCAAACGGCAGCCATAACCAATTTAACAGTATCGGGAGGATTTTTCATACTTTTCACTAGGGTTATGTCGGTCGGTTTTAGTGTGTTCAAAGCAGCAATGGCTTCCTCCAGGATAGGAACGGCTTCGGCTAAATCCGCTTCGCATTCTACTTTTAATTCGGCTGCTGCTGCAGCTTGAACGTTTGCCACTTTTTCATCCTCTTTCACGAGTTCCGTGACTCTTTCCACTTTGATCGTTTCTTTTTCTATCGTTTCCATCATTTCCAAAGTTTCCTTAGCAGCAATCACTAGTTTAGGTTTCAACGCCGAAAGCTCATTGGACATTTCAGCAACTTGTGCTGCTGCAAAATCTAATTTTTCGAGACCTCCGACGTATCTCATTTTAGCAGCCATGATTTCATCTTGTTTACTATTCGTGAAATGCGTAAAACATTTTATCAATTCCAAAAAAGCAGACGACGTTATGTAAGTTTTCCTATTTGTTTTTTGGTAAAATTCGTCCGAGAGCTTTTTTGCAGTCACGTGAAAATGCTTGCACGCCAAAGTGGCCACACTTTTTATTTCTTCCGATAAGTGAACGTCTTTCATCCATTTTATACCGATCATTTCAAGGGCATCTTCTGGCCAATCCACAAACCAATCGATTGTGCAACAATTAACAAAAGACGGATACAATCTCAAACGATTTCTAAATGATGAACCTATCGGACTTAAACACAGCATCACGTGTAGCTTTTGCTTGCACCTGCTTATAAAAAAGGAAAAAACAGCCAGAGGGCTTATATCTAAATTCCTATTGCCTCCTTGTGCGGCGAGTCTAACCATTTCTAATATTTCTTGCTTTTCATCGATTGCAAACAAGTTCGGAACCTCTCCTGAATTCAACAAAGCGTCGATATCGAGCAAAAACGATTCTTCTTTAATTTGTCCTTCGGAAAATAAAAATGTCGTGTTTTTAGCTTTGCCCCCGGCTTCTCTCAATACTTTTTTTAAATCCTCTCTCCAACTGACCATTCCGTAATTATTTGTTATTTCCGGTTGAAAAATATTATAAGAAAGCATGACGGTGGCAAGCTTGCACAAACTTTGACGACCCGATCCACTCACTCCTACTAATAAGCCGGATCCACTGGGTATGGCCAATATCCGGCATATTCGAGACAAGTGTTCTAATGCGTATCTAAAAAGGACAATGTCCAATTTCGTTTTATGACTGGTGTTATAATCTTGCATGTATTGTAGAGCAACATCTCTGAACTCATCGGGACTTGGAATTTCTTCGTATTTTCGTTCTTCTTCCAACGCGTCCATGTCCATGTAATTTCCAAACATGAAATCTCTCAGCGACTCTTGAGTGCATTCGTTATTTTCCAACGGAAGATTATCGAATAAAAGATCGAAATTTTCTTTCAAGTGCTCTCGAACGCACAAACGAATTTTATCAAAGACCCAATTTCTATCCGCATCTTCTATTAAACGATCGTAAAATACTCGGAGAATTTCGTGCACCCATAATTTGCCGAAAAATTTTTTCGATTCCGCGGATTCTTTTCTAACGAGAGAGCATCCCTGTATAACCCTGGCAAAATCCCTCAAATTGAATATGTAGTGAGACTTTGCGGGTGTGGGTCTCAAATTATTCATTGCACTTTGATACATATCCATTGTCGCGTGAACGATTGACGAAACCGAATTCATAACGTCCGTGGCGAAACCATTTCTTTTCAAACCCACAAATAACACGGTCGTGAAAATTTTAATCATGCTCTCCTCGGAGAAATCGCAAATGGCGAAAATGTTGAAGTGTCTGAGAAATCTCGCATAGATTTCTTGTCTGCTGCCACCCGGCAATCCCATGGCACCCATGAATAAAGTATCGAATAAAAATATTTTAGAAGTGTCTTTTAAATCGTACCAATGTTTACAGTCAAAATATTGGCGGAGGAGTTCGATCGGAGGTTGAGCACCGTAAACTTCTTTGGCTGGCATATTCATGTCGTCGACGAATATCACACATTTTTTTCCCATGGGCGGTCCGTAACGACCTTTTTTTTTCTTATTTAATTTTGATATGACCAACTCTTGCGTTTGATTTGCCGTTATGGAAGCCGTGAAAGTAATAAATGCTGGAACGAACAAATCCTGAGAGAGTTTGTACATGAGTAAATTCTGAATGTAGAAACTTTTTCCCGTTCCCGTGCTTCCCACCAAAAGAGTCGGAAAATTGTGTTTTATGTGGAGTTCGAGCAAATATTGATATTTAACCGTGTCCACGGTCGGAACGAGCATTTGAGATATATTAATAGTTTCTACGAGTTTTTCCGTTTTCATAGCTTCCGGCCAATGTTTCCAAGCTCCTCTTCCTTTAAACGAATAACAATGATCGTGTATAAGTCCATCTGACGGTAGTGAAATTTCTACTTTTCCTAAACTTTCCGGAAACGGATGAGCCGCGGTTCCTTTCCACATTTCCAAATAAAATTCATTAAACGTTGCTCTCGATTGAAGATCCAAACCTCCTCCTAATCCCCAAATACCTGAATATATGAAAGCCGCTTGAATCCAAATATTAACATTCTTTAAGTCGACCTCTTGATTTTTTTCTTTTTTTTCGGGAGCGCAAGCATCATTCAAAAGTATTTGAACTATTGTCATCATTGAATTTATTCGATTTGCCACGCCGGCGTTACAAATAAAAGTGCAATGTCTTCTCGTGAATGTCAATGATGGAGGTATTAGCCATTCGTATAAGTCGTATATTAAATTTTCATTGCCTTCCATCCACGGTCCTTTTTGTTTCGTTATCCAAGATTGAACTAACGGCCTCCAACCGAGGGTTTCGGGTTCGAGGTAAATCATTCCGCATCGCGATACGGTAGCAGGACTCGCTTGTGCCAAGTCCATGACTTCGAAAATCATGCTCATGACATTGGTCATCGCCATAACTTCCCCAGAGTTTAAACATAATTTTTTATTATCGTCCAATACAGTGTTCATGTTTTCTATCCATACGGCATCTACGGGACCATCGAATATAATCCATTTCCTATCGGTTGTTTCACTTTGAACGAACCCTCTAAAAGATGTCGCGACGATTCCATCAGACCACTCATAGCTCACGGGATCGAATTGACCGTACAATTGTCCCATTGTAATACTTTTCGGATTGATGGTAACGTATTGTACCTTTTCCTCTTCGAAACCTTTTTCGTTCATTATAGTTAAAGTATCTGCCAAAACGTGTAATGTTGAAGTTTTACCTCCGAATGGATCCCCCACCAACATGAATCCGTGTCTTACAATCATCATTTCGTACGTTTGAATTATTTTTATTTTAAATGATTCAACCGGTTGAAGAACTTTTTTCTTGCAAACTACGTCGACAACGTTTAACATGTCGTCATAATCGGGCGTGGGTAAAACAATACCCGGAAACAAATCTGAAATTATTCCTTCGAAAAGAGGAATATCGTGACGTAAAAATTTCGGCAAATTAACATCTATGATGGAACGTAATAAAAGAATATCTTCGTTTTCGTCTTGAAATTTTAATTTAAGATTTCCAGCAGCTTGTAAAACGGTTTTCACAGCTCTCATTCCGTAGTCGTAATGATATTGAGACGATAACTGTTCTGAACACAATCTGTACGTTGTCACAATTTTCACAGACAATACCCGAGCTTTTACAAAACCGTAAGAATACAATGAAATTTCTCCTATTAATGCGTAATCCGGCACCATCATGGCGACCGTACGGAATAAAACTTTTAAATTGTCCGGTAATTCAGATCGTCCGGCATATCCGGGATTCATGGTGATGCAAACGTAACACGCGGGATTCAAAACTAATTCGGTTCCTTCAAAAACAAAAGTTTTCACACCGGCCTGAACCGCGAGCATGATGCATAAAATTTGTTGAGCGATTACTGATAATACTTCTAATTCGATTCGGTTAAACTCGTCAAAGCACGCCCAAGCTCCGGAAGAAGCCAAACCTGTAAAATAATGCAAATAATAAAATCAATTAATTATAAAACAAAAATAAAAAAGAATACCTTTGAAAAATTTTCCCATTGCAATGTAATCTAAACCGTCGGAACAATTAAAAACAACGCATTGCACAGCTAAAGCTTTTGCTAAATCTTTGGTAGTTTCCGTTTTTCCCGTTCCGGCTGGTCCTTCCGGTGCGCCATTCAAATGTAAATGATAAGCTCCTATCAATGTACGGTAACAACGATCCGTGAGAGGCGTGATAACCAATCTAGGCGTGTTTCCCAAATACTCATAAGCGTACCTGAATTCGTTTCGGTGAGTTTTTAAAATTGATTCACAACAAAAAAAAACCTGTAGAGAGGATCATGTCACTTTACTCACTTGACGACGGCATTGATTATTCTCACCATACAATCATCTTCCCAATAATATCTTAATTGTGCCAACCAGGAAAAGTCAGTGTCACTAGTTATGTTAGTTTCAATTAATTCTTCCACGACGTCTTTTGCATGAACGTCAATGACAACCAATGCTCCAAGAGTGACTCTATTTTGCTTAGATAATTTACCTCTTACCTAATTTTTTTATTATAAACTTTCAAGACACATTCAAAATAAAACCGATTGAAATTGAAATTTATTTTTTTTTTAAATATTTTTTACCAGGGCAACAATTTGATTCAGTTGTACTTGTAAACCGTCATGGTAGGTTTTCAAATGTTTAACATCTCCTTTACTTAATTGTTCGTGTACTTCGCTCGTCCAATAAATTGTCGAAACGCAAATGACGATTTGTCCCGGCCATTCTTTAACCCAAACGTTTCTATCCGTTTGTAAATAAGCTTTGTAAGCTCTTTCCGTAACGTCTCTAATCGTGATAACCATTTGTTCTTCAACCTTTAAATATATATTACGAATAAAATTACTCGCGAATATTTTACTTTTTATTTCGGGTGTTTTCGCATGTACCTGTAAAAGCCATTTCTCAACAGAACCTCTCGCTTCTGCGGTCGATATTGTCGAAACAATATATATTTGTTCTCCTTCAGCGCTAATCATTGAAAATATATTTAATTCGCTATCGAATCCTAATTTTGAAATACCTTCGAAACATTTTCTTAAATGGGGTTGAACTCTTAGTGGATCTTTTGTTTCGGATAATATTTCAAGCATTTCGTCGTTGGAAAGGAAAAAAAACCTTGGAAAAAATAATCTTTTTTTCTCCAGGTAATTGTTAACGCCATCGTTGATTTTTTCCAGAGACGCTGTCTGATCGACGAGTACTTCCAAAACACCCGTACCACCAGCACAATTTAATACGAGTGGATCCCGAGTGACGCTTTGCATTAATCTCTTATAAACGCTATCAACTTCTTGAAACATGTGTCCTTCTTCGGGCATTTGTGCGACGATATCTTTGGATGAGAAAATTGGAAGGAGATACAACCATTGAATTTGAACTTTTCCCCATTCCTCGAGAGTTCTATTAACTCTATTCAATTTCTCGTACCTTAAATAAATTCAAATTTAATTGATTCAATCAAAGAAAATTGATTAATTATTTTTTTTTTTTTTTACCAGTCTTTGACTTCCGCTTCGAACGGTTTAACAAAAGCAGAACCTCTCATCGTCATTGTTTTAACTAAATGATCATCTAATAAAGCTTGAATGTCATCGAGTCCGGATAAAATGGTGATTTTAGTATCTTTCCAAAAACTTGTTTGCAATTTGACTCCTTCCCATTCGGCCCACATTTTTTGAAGATTTTTCGACAGTTGTAATTCTTTACAAGCTCCCACGGATATAATTTCAAATCTATCGAGATATTCGGTTAAATTCATGGCTACGACTTTTCGTAGAGTCGTACCGAAATCTGTGAAAAAATTCGTTTTAATCGACTTTTCAAAAACTTTATAATTTTTTAAGGTTCCACAATGTTTGTTTTTTTTTTATACCTGGCGTTATATCAAATCCACATATTTCCGACATTTCATCCCAGTGTCTTTCAGTTAACGCATCATTACATAAAATCCCAACGATTTGTATGCAAGTTCTAAATTCTTTTATTTGTTCTAATGTTTTATTACATATTTTTATCGGTGCCGGAACCATATTAGGATCAGGATCGTCTAAATTACCTGTAAAAAAAAAAAAAAAAAAAAAAATTATTATTTTTCACGGAATCAAAGGCATCGTTCAAATTTTATTTTTTCACCTTTGAATTTTCTCGGATTGTTCTCTTGTATTTGTTGTTTGATTCTCGCTTTGTACACTTTTAAAGTTTTTGATATTTCTTTATGAAAATCTTCGGTCGTGCTTTCAACTTCTTCCGCATTTAAATCATGAAAATTTCCATCCATCCATAATCTAAGTTTAAAATAAAAATTACAAAAGCCAACAAAACAATCAAATCCATGCCCTTGCAAAACGGTACCTGTATTTTCTTTGCCAACGATGACAGGTAAAAAGTAATTTTGCAAACGGAACGATTATATTTTTCAATTCTTCCAATTCCGGATAAATCGATATTGAAAATTTAAAAATGGCTTCTTCTTTATTTATCCATTTGACATCGTCGTTAAATTTTTCCAAATCCCTAAGTAACTTTCTTATCTCTTCCAAATAACTCGGAAGTCTTTCAATGTCGTCCATATTATCGAGTATGGCTAATTTGGGTCCTAAATCTTCGAGTTGTCTATTCAAACGTTCCGTTCTCTGATGAATTCTATCTTCGAACTCGACTTTGTATTGTTCGTACAAAGATGAATTTAAATCGAATATCGGTTTTATGTCTCGCAACCAATTAACCGTCGTCGACATTATGTTCGAATATTCGGTCGGAATCTAATTAAAAAAATTATTTATTTTAACAAAAAATATATTTTATTCGTTCAATGGCTAGTTTTTTTTTTTTTTTTTTTTTTTTGTAAGGATGTAAGATTCACCTCCGTCAATTCGATTAACCTTCCAACTATAAAAAGTTGTCTCGTTATTTTTTCTTTTAATTCAATCATCAATGTCGAATTCGCCCAAACCATGTATGTACCCAATTCCATGAATTCTTCCGATGATTCCGGCATTTTTAACGCTCTCGCTTTCACCTTTAATAATAATAATAATAATAATAATATTTTATTAAAACTAATAATAATAAACCTTTTTAATGCCAAACAAAAAAAGGTTTATTCACCTCTTCGAATGTTCTGCATATTTCTAAATTAACCGCACCGTGAGTTCTTATCATTTCACCTAATAAATCATCGCAAAATGCATATGCAAAATTTCTTAGACTACTTATTAGTTTTTCCTGGCATAATCTGCACAAGTTAAAATATTGATTTCCAACCATGTCGTTTATTTTATCAACGTAACCCTATTAAAATAAATAAATTTATTTAAATGGCATTTATTACAATTTGTTCGTTCATTTTTTTCGAACCTGAAAATGTTCACGTTTTTCCACGACTTCTTCAAATGAATGATTTTCATCAATGAATGAATTTATTTCGTAAACAAGTTCAGCACTATATAATCCATTATATTCATCATCTAGTGCATCCATATAATTATAAACGGGTTCAAATAAACGATCGAAATTATAATCGAGTTTATCGTGCATTTCAGTCAGATAACTTTCGTTAATGGCGATCTATAGTTAAAAAAAAAACCAAATCAAATCGGATTTGATAAATTTTTAAAATATTCTTTATATATATATATATGGCTCACTTTAATAAAATTTGATTTAACGGGAACTTTATCGACCCATTGTTCCAAAGATGTTAATTGTTGTGCAATATTTGCCATGGCATTTATAAAATTATGAAAAGTATTATTAATTGTTTTTTCCGATGGGAACAATGATATTCCATCATCGAATACCAATTCCAAATCCAAAAAAGGTATTCTTTCAACGTCTTCCGTTGCCCATATAAAACGATTTATACTCCTTTGAATCAATTGAGTTACCTAAAAAAATTTTAAATTTTAATTAATAATAATAATAATAATTTTAAAATGATTTTTATAAAAAAATAAAATTTTTTGAATTACCTGTACAACTAAAATATTCGTAGCGGATGCAAGATATTTGGGTCTTGCAGAAATTTTAAATTCATTTAAAGCTCTTTTACGAGATACAAGAGCGACAACTTTTGGATAAAGCGAAGTCGTGACAATGTGTTCGCTTTTTTTTAAATCCGCAAAAAACAATGCATTGAATTTAGTCAAATCTATGAAACCCAAAGACCTGTATTTACTTATGTCGACCAACCACTCTGGTAAAAGTTTCACGCAAAGCATGTATATTTTCCTTTGAAATTTATGAAGTATAAAAAGTCGAGATCTAATCAATTCCCTATGCATGAGAAATATATGATACCGTGGAGTTTTACCCACTTCCCCATCATCTATGGGTATTTCAAATGATTTTTTATTTTGTCCGGGTAAACATTTCATAATGGCATCGATTCCAAATTGATGCATGCTTTGATAAAAATTCGTTTTAACTTCGTCCATTATTTTATCGGCAATAAATGGAAATTTAACGTGTAAATTATAAAGTTTTGAAAGTATCGAATCGATCCATTCTTGTTGCAGGGGCACGGTCGGAAGACGAGATGCATATTCTCTTAATAATAATTCGTAATGTCTTTTTTTTTTCGGTATTTCTTCGACGTCTTCTTCCAATATCCTTTCGTAAAAAATTTCAATTTTTTTCTTTATTCCGACATATTGTAAATAATCAAACATTATATTTGTTTTTTTAGACGATAAATTAAATTTAAATAATTCGCTTTTGGAATATTCTTCGCATTTATATGCGTCCATATTTGGCATGACTACGGGTGGTAGATTTGGTATTCGCAACACGTTAAAAACGAGTTCGTAAATTTCGGGACTTTCAAACGAAATTGGTTTGAATTTTTTTTGCAAAGGTATTATATTATTCTCTTGATAATTATATGATTTTTCCGGTAAATTTTCCTTATATTGAATTTCATTTTCTTTTTTTTTAAATAACGTTTCATCGATTTCTAAATTTTCTCCTTCCCATTCGGAATAATCTTCTCCGTAAAAAACAAAAGGAATATGAAAATCATCGTCTGAATTATTTACTTGAGACATACTGAAATTTTATCTAAAAACACTGCCTGAAAAATAAATAAATTAATTAATTAAATTTATTATAAAATATCAATTTAAAAAAAAAAAAAAATTACAATTACTTACTTAAAAAAAATTAATTACGACTAACTACTGTTCTTTACAGTTAAAAAAAAAAAAAAAAACTTACAAGTAATTATTAATTAATTATTTTCTTCTTAAAATGATATTTTCTTAAAATTAAATATATATATAAACCTTTTGAAAAGTCATGATTAACAAATAAATAAAAAAACAAAAAAAAACCAATCCACTGTAATGCACTTTATCAACTCACTGCAATATGATTTTCATTGAAAAACATTTATTTTATTTTTTTTTTTTTAATAAATGTTAATAAAAAAAAAAAAAAAAAATCATTATTTATAAAATTACAATATGTCATATAAATATATATATAAATATATATGCGTGTACATACAATTTATACATGTAATATACACGATGTTTACATGTTGCTATAACGACATTTTCATTTCATTCATCAAATATAACAGGATTTAAAAGAAAATAAAAAAAATTTTTTTTTTTTTTTTTTTAACAATAAAAATTTAACATTAATTTCTGTATTTATGCATGTAAATGAATATTAAAATAACAAAATCAATCATTATTATCATTTTTTTTTTTGTTAAATAAAAATCGAAAAAAAAAACTAATTTTTATAATTTTTAGAGTCGATGTAATAATTTATCATCGTATATAATTATATAAATACTTATTTTTTTTTGTGTATAAGTAGAAAAACAAAAAAAAATTATTGATAAATTGAATTGATGATGATGATGATCATTGATAAATAATTTTTGAGCTTTTTTTATAACGAGTAATACAATTTGTTTTAACAGAAAAAGTTTCGACTTCTCATCGAAAGTTTTTACTATTTGATAAAAATTATATAAAAGCAATCCAATTTTTTTTTTTTTTTTTTTCCAAAATCTTATTTTATATGTTGACACACTTTACAATATTATTTACACAAAATACATAAATTATAAAATAATGATGTGACAAAGAAAAAAAAAAAAAAAAAAATAAGTATTTTTTTATATAAACTATTTTACGAATTGATTTTCCCCTAAAAATCTAAATAACAATTCACTACATTAAAAAATATTTTTCTTTTTATTCTAGGCTTTTATCCAAACTTTTATTTCTATTTATCCCCTTCATCTACTTTAGGTTTTCTTTCTTCTAGTGGTTTTTTACCTGAACCTACAGGTCCATGTCTTCTTTCCCAAGCCATTCTATGTTTTTGTTTCATATAACATTCATATGCACCATCTGTATATCTAAGTTCACCATCTGAAAATGTATTATAATAATATTTTAAAATTTTTTATTATAATTAAATTTAAATAAGTAAAGTATTACTCGATACTCGATAAATATCATTCTCATTATTAGTAGGGAAAAATTAAAATCTGAGATTTAAAACTTGATTATTATTAATAATGATAACAAATTTTTTAGTTAATTATCTTAAAAAATAAATATTATACATACATTTAATAAAAAAATTTGTTTTTTGAGTATTTAAATAATCTTTAATCTCGTTACATTTTGATTTATTATACCAATTTTCGTTTATACAATTTGTAAGCCTTCGATTTAATATTTTCAATATTTCTATATCAACTCTTCTGCAAATTTAAATTTTAAAAAATTTATTTTGTTATAAATTAATTAATTAATTAAATTTTTACAAATATAATTTATTTTTAGACATTACTTATCAATTGCCCATTGAAAATCAGCTTCAAAACGACATAATGTATCATTAGTATAACATTCGTCAATTGTGGGAACTCTGCGACGTTTTTCATGATACCAATAATATTCTTTACGATTTGGTTCAACAATATTTTCTGTTAAATAAATTCAAATCATTTTAAGGGACATTTAAAAAAAAAAAAAAAAAATTAAAAATAAATCAGAACATCATAATAAGTAAACTCTAGTTTTTATGTTTTATATAAATTTTAAATTATTTAAGTAAAATTATCATTGATGATAGACTTACCTCGGAACCAAACAACCGGCTTTTCAAATAATAAATAAGTAAATCTCATAAACAAATTTGGATTATACACTTTTTCGTCAGATTCCATTTTAACCTTTTTAATATGGTTTTAATTTAAGGGTTAATAATACGAGCAGACGACGAGTAAAAGTCTTTAACTTTTACAGTATGCTTTGCAATAAAAAATAAATGAGTTGTTTGTATAAAGTGTTATAAAAGAAAATTTATTATGTAAATTTAATAATAAGTAAGAAATTTAATACCTTAAGTAAAAATGACTTTTATCTCTTTTCGTCAGAGTATATGGCAGCTTTACGAATTTCAATCAGAAAAGATTTACGGTTAAAATTTACTACTTTAGTTTATTTTTAACTTTACATATTTAATTAATAAAAAAAGTTTTAAAAAAATAGTAATAAATATTATTAAATTATTATTTAATTATCAAATGAAAATTATAAAATTGAAATGTTTTTTCGTTTTTTTTTTTCGTTTTTTTTTTTTTGTTTTGAAATTTAAAAAAGTGGTAGACTAGTGTAGTAATAGGTAAGTCATTTTTCATAAAAATAAATAAAATGATGGGTTTAAAAAAATCGGTGGAATCCGTTCGCCAGATAAATGCTACGAAATATTATTTGATAATTTCTTTAAATAATGACATGTAGTTTTAGATATAACTAAATTAAACCTTAACCGGGTTCGGAAAACTTTAGATATTGCCAATAGAAAATCGTGTTTATGTATTGTTTCCAGATAGTAAAATTAAAATGGCCGAATGTTTCATTATCTCTTGGTAAATAACCTTTGTGTCTAAGCGTGTGGTTTTTGACTCAGAAATGGAGCTCCGAGTCGGGAGCAAATACAGATTAGGTCGGAAAATAGGAAGTGGGTCTTTTGGTGACATTTATTTAGGTATGTAAATTAAAATTTATTTCAAATATTCATTTTTACTTTGACAGTTGAATGAACCTAAATTTTTTTTTTTTTTTTTTTATGAATAATACTCACAAGCAAAATAAAATATTTTTTATTTTGAAAATTATTGGCCGAATATATATTTTAAATTGTTGTAGTAACTCGTTTAAATTTATTTTAAATATTAATTATTTGATTTTTATCATGAAATAAATATAATATCATTTTTAATTTTATTTTTATATTACTTTTAAGAAATTAATTGTTTTCAAGCAAATACATACAATTAAAATTTTTTTTTTTTTTATTTATAATTTGCAATACAGTTTCTTATACAATAATTAATTTTATAATATATAATGGTATTTGCAAAGTAAAAATGGTTCAACAGGTAGCAAAAATGTGCATCTGTAGGAAAGAGAATAATAATTGTCTTATTATGATTAATCATTTTATTTTTAAGAATTTTTTTTTTGTAAATCACTTTTCCATGAATAAAGTGGAATTTTTTTTTTTTTTTTGTACTTGCTTTAAATTCAAGTAATTCGATTACCAAACATAAAATATTAAATTTAATATTTCACAACGATGGTATGGCATTAGCAAAAGTTTTTTTTCTTCGTTATTATTTAAATGAATCGTATAATAATTTAATCGAGTCAAATAATAATTTATAAAATCAATAAGAAAACTAATAATTATTAATTATATTAATAAATTGTCATTCTTACCATTTTGTTTTAAACGTTTAATAATATTATTATTTAATTTAAATAATTTATTTTATTAATTTTTTATTCGAGTTATTTCGAGAAAGTATAAATCACATTTTCTTATTTTTTAAAAAAAAAAAAAAAAAATTTTTTAAAATGATTCATTCGATTTGAAAATTATAGGTAAAAAAAATTAAATAACCTTTTTCTTAGTATGAATTTTTTTCCAATGACTAAAAATGATATTTGTTGTTTTCGAATATTTCAAAGTTTTGAAACGTTAAATAAATTTTCAAAAAATTAAAAAACTTGATAAGTTATTTCAATTGTCAATTCTAATTATTATTATCTTTAAATATTATTTGTAATAAAAATAATAATAATAATAATAAGTCATAAATTTTATTATTATGAAGTTTTTTTATATATATATATATATTTGTGATAATTATTTTTATAAATTTAAATTAACTTTGTAAAAAACAAAAACAATACATCATTATTATCATTAGTTTTATATAATAATATTATTTAAATTTTATTAAAAAAGAAAAGAAAAATTACTTAAATGGTTATAAATGTGAGAAAATGATGAAAATGTGATTTATTCTTTTCTTTCTTTATTATTTATTATTTATTATTTATTACACATTGCTCAATAGTTTTTTTTTTTTTTTTAAATGCTTGAGAATTTTATAGTATAATTTTTTTTTTTGGGATTTATTATTAGTGTTTAAAAAAAAAATTATGAAACGATTGTGTTTTAATTTTTTATGTTTTGCAAAGTTTTGTAGTTCACACACACACACACACACTCACTCATAGACACCTGATGTTTTGCCATTTTTAAATCTCATCTATCAATTTTTTAGGCTGTCATTGTAAATTTATTTTGATGACCGGTCAAATATAATGAAGACGACATAAAACAATGCTTATCAAAAAAAAAAAAAAAAAAAAAAAAAAAAGACTAACTGATTGACTGACTGACTAACTCACTCATTCTCGCGGTTTTCTATAAAATGGTAGTAGGTCTCAATTTATTCTACAAAAAAAAAAAAAAAATTATGAATAATGTTTGAATTTAAATTTTAAAAAAATATTACATTTTGGGGGGAGGGGTTTAAAGAAATTTGTGCTTTTATTGTTTTTTTTTCTCCACCCCCTACCCTCCCCTCCCCACCGTTTTTCAAACGTGACAAAAATCATAATTTTTGTAAATCCATTGTTATTATTATTATTATTGTAATTTTTGTCTTTCTTGGAAAACGGGGGGTGGGGTAGGGGATGAGTAGGTGGAACGAGCGAGGGTGTGTGTGTGTGTGGGGGGGGAGGAGGTACATTACGGTTGAATAACAAATTAATTGTTAAGGTGTGTAATAAGGGAGGGAATGGTTTGTAAAGTGAAATGATGAATGCGTTATAACTTGTAGGAGGAAAAAAAAAAAAAGAATTATTTTTTAATGTTTTGTTGTATGTATCGAAAAACACATACACCGAGGGAAAGTTATTAAATGTAATTACACTCGAGTCTGATCCCCCCACTTATTTTTCTTTTTTTTTTTTGTTTCGCGGTTAGTTTTATTTTTTTTATTTTTTTATTTTTTTTATTTTCAAAATGCTTACGCGTTTAAAAAAAATTAAAATTTCCTTCGAAATAATAATAATAATAATAATAATAATAATAATAATAATAATAATAATCACGCGATTTGATTTTATTTAAATTTTATTGATGAAAGAAAATTATTGAGTTTGAGATTTAAAGGAAAAGAAAAAAATCATGATTATATATCCTCTCTCTCTCTCTCTCTCCCCCTCTCTCGTTTTTCCTAATGAGAAAAATTTTAAATTTTTTTTTTTTTGTAAAATTATTGTGTGACAAGATCTTTTCTCTCTCTCTCTCTCTCTCTCTCTCTCTCTCTCTCTCTCTCTCTCTCTCTCTCTCTCTCTCTCTCTCTCTCTCTCTCTCTCTCTTTCTCTCTCTCTCTCTCTCTCTTTGAAGTAAACGCCGAAATCGCGAGGATAAAAATCTAAACAAAAATTTTTCATAATGACTTTGTGAGTTTGTTTTTATTAATTATTATTATTAATATTATTATTATTATTATTATTATTATTATTATTATTATTATTTTAAAGGAAATTTTTCGTGAAAAAAAGGTTTCCCAAATTTTATTTATTTTTATTTTATAGGATTTTAAATAAAATTACCCCGCTCGAGTGTGATAACATGTGATTAGTCGAAGGTTATCTGACGGAGAAAGAAAATAAATAAATAAATAAATAAAAATAAATGAAATATTCTTTTTTTCGTTCGTAACGAACCTTTTTTATTTTATTTTATTTTATTTTATTTTATTTATTTATTTTATTTAATTATTTATTACGTGATTAGGATTTTGATGGAAATTGGATTGGACTTTTTATTTATTTATTTATTTTTTTTTTTTTTGTGTATTCTCCGTATTGGTAACAAGAGAGTATCATCAAAGTCGTCGCCATTACCAATGTCAATTAAAAATAATAATAATAATAATAATAATAAATATTGTCGGTTATTGCCGGAAATGCATTCGATTCGATTCGATTCGACTATCGATGACGACGACGACGACGACGACTACCTGTCGTTGATAGTTTTATTAATTATTTAAAAGGGATTTCGATTTATTTATTTATTTATTTATAAATAATATGTGATTCCATTAGTGCAAAAAAATTGAAAAATAATTTTTGTAACTGTTCCCCCCCCCTCTCTCTCTCTCTCTCTCTCTCTCTCTCGTTTTAAAGTCTATTTATTTTTATTATTATTATTATTTGTAATAATTTATTCGCGGTTTTAAATGTCTTTTTTTACCCCGGGGGAAGGGAAGGGGAAGGGGGAAATTACAATAATAATAATAATAATAAAAATTTTGTGTTATAGGAAAATAATGAAATTTACGGTCGGTTGGTAGAGCGGGCGTGAAAGTAAAAATGCCATCAAAATTATTATCATGGCATTGGCAATGGCATACGTAAATTATTATTATTATTATTATTATTATTATTATTATTATTTAAAATTCACGTCAAATTTATTCTTACGCGGCCGTAACATATCGAGATTCTTTTTTTATTCTTTTATTTTTTTCTCTTTTTCTCTTCCCCTCTTCTCTCTCTCTCTCTCTTTCTTTTTTCTCAAACTCGATGTTTTTGATGAATCTTAAGTGATTGCGTAAAAGAGAGAGAGAGAGAGAAGGGAAGAGAAGGGAGCAAATTCTAGAAAAAAAAAAAAAAATTGTGTAACTCGTATATAAATATTTAAAATTGAAAAAAAATATTGAACGCTAAAAAAATCCTTTTTTTTTTTTTTTTTTTTGTTAATCTTGATTTTGAATTTTTGTATCGTTTTAACCGTGACAGTTTTTCCTTTTCTCTCTCTCTCTCTCTCTCTCTCTCTCTCTCTCTTTTTTTATTAAATATCGAAATGGATTTAATTTTTTGTTTTGTGCGTTTGTTTTCAGGTACGAATAT